TGTGAGTACCAGAGAGAGAGAGATAGAGAAGAAGACGGAGAACAGAAATAGAGGAGGAAAGCATGTTTTGCGCTCGTTGCCCTCAGGGTCCGGAGAGAGGCAGTGCGGAGCCTCAACACCCTGTTATGCAACCGTTAGCATGTGCAGGAAACAAGGCCCCTACGTCATCCCCTGAAGGGTAAGGGAAATTTTAGCAAGCACAAGCAGTCAAAGAAATAACCTCAATGTGAAATTTTAACATGGACATGAAGAAAACTCAGAAAATATTTTGGCACATGTGCCATTTTAGGTCACAGGTACACATTTCCTTTTGCTTGCTGTAGTGGAAACTGCACTGTGGGACTGTGGGAGAAGGGGGAACTCTTGTTGTTGTTTAATTTCTTATGTGTGCTTTCTTTAAAAATGTATAATGAGGGAGATGTTTGAGATAATGGCTGTTAGTTTGAGGGCGCTTGTTTGCTCTGCATTGTGGGGAGATGAGAGAAAGGCAGGTAAGGGTAGCAAAAAAAGGGTTTGACAATATGGGTCAGCCATTGAGGTGAATAGGTTATAATGCCAAATAGCTGCTTTTCTCCTTTAAAGCTGCTATGATAAATATTTTTACATCAACAACACATGAAATGACTACGTGTATATGCAAAAAGGTCGCTTGTAGTGACAAATGCACAGAAAATCTAACCCTACTCTGTCGTTCAACTCAGCTGTACCAAGCACTTCAGTGTCTCTCGGCTCATTGTTTTGGTTTTACGGCCCACAATTTTACTGCTTTAGTTTACTCTGACTGCTCTCATTACCTCCGCCGTTAGGTTTTTGGTACCGTTTGATGTTTGTCTGTCAGCAGAGGTACAGAAAAAGGTTTTTTTCACTTGGTGGAAGGATGTAGCTTGTGTTTTAAGTATGAAATATACCTAAATACCCAGTGCACACAACCTGCTCAGCACCAAATGGCAGACAGACAAGCGTTTAGCAGCTAAAGGGCCAGTATTTCTTTGACAATTTTGTAAAACAGCTAAAAGCAGAGTGCATATTGGACCTAAATTTGCCATGTGGTCAGAAACGTGACTCTAAATGAATGCTAACATTGCTCTGTGACTGCTGTGTTCAAATAAGCAATTTGTCCTCAAAGTTGATGTGTTAGAAGCAGGAAAAATGGGCAGCGT